AAAAAAAAAAAAAAGGTGTAGCGTGTGAACAGTGGAACGGTGTGACAATCGTTCCACAAAATGAGGCATGTCGTTTCCACCAAACCAAGAAAGTTGGTTGGATATTATTTTCTTCCAACCCACCAGTTTCCCGCAAGTATTAATAGTGGGTTGGAGATGCTCTTAGAACCTTTAAATAGATATTCTACGTCATAAGTACCGAATTTGTGAGAACCCAATTTATTCCGCGTAAAGAACATGATCGATAGACATGGTGAATTGGCGAACGACAATCTTGGTGGGGGTGGGACTTGTACATGTTACACCGTTCAGTTGTCGGTTATTCAACATCTCATTTTTATTTTTCCATCTCATCATTTTCCTCATTGTATGTTTATTTATTTTTGAAGACATTCGAAAAATTAAACGTTCAAATGAAATGGTTTTGCACTGACAAAGACTCGTGATTTCCAACCATCATAGAAAAGGTTTATATGATTTGATTTAACGTCCAAATAGCTTATTTCCAACCATCGTATAAAGGGGATTGGATTCATGAACAAGGAATTGTTGAAGAGGCTAGAGCTGAGTGGATTGAGTGGACATGCAGTGGAGGTGCTAAGAGATATCATGGGGGTAATACAACTGAATTAGTGTCTTCCCAACTAGATGATTTTTTCATGGGAGTAGGTCAGTCTTTCTTGACTGTCAGTGCTTCAACATCTAGTAGTGGAGAGACAAGGGCAGAATGTTGTTTTGAACAGAGAGGTGAAATTCTATTCCAGAGACAAGAGAACATTCATAGAACAACTATATATCATGACTGGCTGTGGGCTATCAAATGGGGACTGTCACTGGCCAAGGAGAAAGGCTGCCACTCATTCTTACTTCTCTTGGAATCAACAGATCAGGTAGCTCAACTCAAAGAAAATATCATGTCTTTGGAAGGATTGAACCCATAAATAGCAGATATTAGTAACCTTATTCATGATTGTAATTTTTGTATTGAGACTATATTTTAGCTCTTTGTTTTGTTGATAAGCATGGTGCCTTTTAGGGGTAAGTTTTACCTTCCTCGTGCTGCTAGTGTCCTTGTGACATTTGAGTTGTCATCATTTGATTACCGTGTACTGGATTGTTTAATTTTGATCCAATGTTTAAGTTTGCCGTTTGAAAA